TACTAATAAAATGAGGTTTTTTTTCATAATAGGTCAATATAGTTTTAAAGAGCTATTAAAAAGGGAGACACTAAAGATAAAGAAGGGGGAAGAACACCAGATTCAAGGGAACACAGGAGGCAGTAGGTTAACCCCAAAGCAAACAGAAATGTCTCTTACTCTAAGAAAGGGCAAAAGATAATGAGAGTGAGGTCAGGGGATGAGACCATTTGAGAGGGAGGACAGGAGACCTGTGGGAGTCTGGGAGTCCAGCTGTACTTGCTGTTGCTGTACTTGATGCCCCTGAACTCGTCACACTCCACTGCATTGGCCCATTTGCTTGTCTGACTTTAGGGCACTTAGTCAGGAAACCCAAGGAAAAGGGATGTCTGTCTGTTTGTATGTCATCCTGTATCCACAGTACCTGTCATAGCACCTCACATGTAGTATACACACTTAATAAATATTTGTTGAAATGAATGAAGTAGGAGAAGTATAGCTCAAAGGTTAACAGATCAGAGTGATGATTTGGGAGTTGGAGAAAGCATGCATGTTTGATACAATTTTGATTTGCAAGACATGGTAAAGAGTCAGTTTACAGTAGCGATGTAAATCCGTATCAAAATATCTACTAAAATACAAACCAAAATAACATAATTTTATTTTATCATATAAGATTATTTTCTCTTGAAATGCTTTACATGTTCTCTCATAGAAAAAACAATTAGGACCCTAAAGTGTAATAAAGTGCTGTATTAGTCATCATGGTATGCGATGAAAAGCCTCGGGAGAAAGCAATAAATATTTGGAATTTCCAGTGTGTTGACTATCAGAGGGGTAAGTTAGCACAAAACACTGTGAAACTAGAGGAGAGAGAAAACAAGGACAGACACACTGTATTTCTCTGAGTCTGAGACACCAGGGACTGAAAAACACATCATTCTTTATATACCACCAAGAAAAAAATTGCTGCCAATTAAATTAAGACACAATGGTTTCTTATTACTCAGAATTCTCATTCTACATTTTTTTAATATATTTTATTGATTTTGTACAGAGAGGAAGGGAGAGAGATAGAGAGCTAGAAACATCGAAGAGAGAGTCATTGACCAGCTGCCTCTTGCACACCCCCTACTGGGGATATGCCCACAACCAAGGTACATGCCCTTGACCAGAATCGAACCCGGGACCCTTCAGTCCCCAAGCTGATGCTCTATCCATTGCTCCAAACCGGTTTCGGCCTCATTCTACATTTATTGAGAAAATTCTCTTGGACCCACTTAGACACAGATTTTTATCTTACATCACTCTCGTGTATATAAACAAACAAAAAAAAGCCTAAATAAATTTATAAGTTTTCCTGAAGCAAATGACAACTATTTCATTAGTGTTGCCTGGTCATTGGTGAATGTAAGACACGTCCTAATTTCAGAAATTTATAATAAAAACATGTGTGTCTTAGAAGTGATGAAACGTAATATTTAAAATTTAATCTATCCAGATTCTCCCATTATACTTACTGAAAGGAAATAATCAGCTTTGAGCCTAATCACAAAGTGTGATGATGGTGCTCCTGAGGTCAAGTTCAGCTTCTCACAGGCCGCTCAGACATGGGGAACCTCCACTTAGAGAAACAGGTATACCCATTGACAGGTCCTGACAGTGGTCCAGGTCAATTCCCTTCTGTAGGGTAAGCTGTCACCTCACCTGGCCCACCCGTTGCCTTTACCCTAAACTCAGTGGTCTTTCCAATAGCCCCCCTGGAGTGACTGAGGGCCTCCTGTCTTCCTGCCATCGCTGCAGAGATGATGGATGGGAAACAGCTCACCCCACCTTCTCCTAGCCACACTCCACCACGGCCTCTTCAAACTCTACTGGCATGGGCAGCTCCATCCATCCCCTAAAAACCCTTAGATGAGAAGCAACCGGAAAGTTCACTGGGTTCCACCCATGTCAACTCTCTCCAGAACTCCTTCAGCACACTCCCCTCTGCTTCGATAGAGGCGCCACAAGAAGTTGGCAGTGTTTGCGGCTCAGTATGCATACAGCTCAGGGTTAAAAGGGTGCTTTCTCTTCTTCCTGGCATCCTGAACCTATGTGAGGAATTCACATATTTCCACAAATACTATCCTCCCCAAAAGACTGACAGCCTGCCTTCTCCCCATCCTTCTCCTCAGGCCCCTCTTATCTGAACCCTACAGGGTCCTCATGGAGAAGGAGGAGGAGATGGTTGGCATGAAGGCCTGAATGGCCACCTCTTTGTCAGCATTGGCTCATGAGATCGGGCCCTGTTTCCTGGATATTCTCTCTAGGATGTGGTACTTGAAGTCTCTTTGTCCTCAGCCACAGGTCACGGGAAAGATGCATCACAAACAGCCTGTCTCTTAAACATGGGTGCAAACAGGAGCCTTTTCACAATACCCTGATTTCCCAGATTCCACTTGTAATTGTGGGGTGAAATCCAAGTCCTCTCGGTGAAGGGTATGGTTGGTATACCCACAAACTCATTTTTTATGGACTCCTGTCAAACCACGCCGTTTAAAATGTTTGCAAACCTTCCTGTCAATGGCTCACTTGTTCCTTTGCTGAAAGAATCGGGCACATGGACAAGACCCGCAGGCTGGGCCAATGAGCCTTTTTCCTGAACAATCTGTTCAGCCTGGGAGTGAGCCACATCTCATTGTCCAAATAGTCTAACACAGAACCTTTTCAAACCTCAGTCTCTTTTCCTTTCTGATAAAGATGCTTGCAAAACGTGCTCATGCATCCATTCACTTACTCGACCCCTACTAACTGAACTCCCGGTGTGTGGGAGGAATGGTGCGAGGTCCTGAAAATACAGCAGGGAGTCAGGCAGGATCAGTGCTCTCAGGCAGGTGACACTCCACTGGGAGAGTTCTTATGAAGCGTACGTGTTGAACATAATCGAAGTAGATCACAACGGACACGTACTAATATTTGCTTACTGGTACGTACTCTACTGCTGCCGAGTTCAGGTGGCCCTCATACAGCAGCATGCTAAGGAGTCACACGCTCAATCCTAACAAACCGGGTTCGAATCTCAGCTCTGCCGCTGACTTTGTGGCAGTGTGGGTGGTGACCGGGACACATGATCACAAGAAGTGAAATGGAAAAGCAGAATATAACAGGGCAGGTGTCATATCCTCTGTCTTCACGTATTTGTACATGTACGCACACTTGGAAAATAGATCAGAGGCCAAACAAGAAGGTCTCCCCGCTGCCTGCCCCCTCTAGACTGGTGAAATTATTACTGCATTTTGTTTATACTTATTTTACATTTTTTCAGGAAACCTGAGCCTTGAGCTAAGAACTTAATCATTCAGTGAGCATGACTATGTTCTAGGCATCTTCCTAGGCACTAATAATAAATGGTGAAAAAAACAACAACCCAGGCACTATCCTGACTGTAATGTTGAGATATAGAAAAACAGTACATGCCTATTCATAATACAGTTACTTGTGTGTGCCTCTGTCCCTCTCCTCACACACACAAAAACCAGAACAACACTAAAGGTGCAAACACATACCTATCCATAAACAATGCGTCCACATTGATATGGATTATAATGAAATAAAATTTGATAAATGGGTCAGGGTCACATGTAAAAATGTATAATGGAAGATAAAAAAAAAAAAAAAAAAAAGGATGTCACTAATTTCCATGGCCTGTGGCACTTCTGTTCATAATCTTATCCACCTCTTCCTTTTCCGTAGATTCTGTTTCCTCTCAGTCCTGCATATCTTTGAGGGTTAATTGTGTGATTCCAGTACTGGGCCTTGAAAACTATAATACCAACTAATGTCTGGTAAAATCAATTTCCTCACAATAAAAAGGAGGAAATGTTCACTCTGCTCTTGCTGCTGCAAGAATAGCACAAAGGGAAATAAAAACTGTATTTGCTGAAGTTGTTCCCAACAAGGCAGTTCTTTATAACAATAAAACAGACTTCAGAGAATGTCACTATGTCCTGTGTGTCACTCCTTCACTATGTTATAGCAAGTTTCTTATATATCTACTAGAGGCCCAGTGCATGAAATTTGTGAACTGGTGGGGGGCTCTCCCTCAGCCCAGCCTGAACCTTCTCCAATCTGGAACCCCTTGGGAGATGTCTGGCTGCCAGGTTAGGCCTGATCCCACAGTCAGACATTCCTCTCACAATCCAGGACTGCTGGCTCCTAACTGCTCACCTGCCTGCCTGCCTGATTGCCCTTAAACACTTCTGCCTGCCAGCCAGATCACCCCCTAACTGCCCCCTATACTTTAATTTCAGAGAGGAAGAAAGAGGTAGGGTGAGATAGAAATATTAATGATGAGAGAGAATCATTGATCAGCTGCCTCCTGCATGTCCCACATCAGGGACTGAGCCTGCAACTCAGGCATGTGCCCTGACCAGGAATCAAACCATGACCTCCTCGTTCATAGGGTCAATGCTCAACCACTGAGCCCTGCTGGCTGGGCAATTTTTTACACTACAGTTCAACGTTCCTGGGTTACAGTAACCTCCATATATAACCTGCCTTTATTACCTTCCATAGCAACCGACGGTGAGCACACTTGAGTCTGGAGGACTCCCTTTTCCAGTGCAGAGTCCACGCCACGGGGTTGCTGGAAGTTTTATTTTTCTGGGGTTGTCTGTCCTTCCTTCCCTCTTCCTGCACCCTAGGGTCCCAGCTTCATCCTGAGCTGTCTCTTTGCAATGGAGCCCATTCTGCTGTTCCACTTGCCCTGTAGTTCTCACATTGTTCCATCAAATCTCTTTTTAATATTGATTACCCTTCACAGCAAATGTCAATACATTGGGGAAAATAAACCTTTCCCATGAGGTGTGAGACTGGAAATGGGCAGAAAAGCCCAGTTTGCTACATCCCTGAAAGCTGCCAGGTTGCACAATCTGGGAAACTTAGATGTGCGTGAAAAAGAACCATCGTGTCCTGGATGCTGGGTTCTGACCAAGAGGAATTTCCCACATTTCAGTGTTTTGCTCCAAACCTCTCTTGCCATGTGTCCTACTAGCAAAGCCTCAGTGCATATAGCACCAGGCACAGCTCCAGGCGGCGGCACAGGCAGCTCAGCTTCAGCAGGGGTGTCAGCAGGACCACGCAGCCAAGGTGAGGTGCTAGAACTCTCCAACACTTTTCCTCTTTGAGGGCTCTTTTCTCCACCAGCTTTCTGGTGCTGCACCACAGCTCTCTGCATCTTTTCTGAATCTACTGTTCTGACGATTAGATTTCACCAGATGGGAATACTTTTGGGGTAGAGATTTTTGTCCTGTGCTTCATCTGTGTGAGGTAGGGATGGGTAAAACACACATCCCACCGAATTTATAGATTAACTCATCTCACTTGACAGAAAGGTATAGCAGACACAAATTTGCAAATGTCCTTTGGGGAAGGTCTGTACAGTTGGATTTTAGGATTCACAGGGGGTGACTGAAATGGAAATTGGTTTGTACAAAAGCCCATTGCAGTCTCTCATACAAGAAATCACTGAGATTCCAGTGAGATACATATAAATGGAGAACTAGGTCCTCTGGAATCCTATCTGTCTGTCTAACTACATATATCAGCTATCTACACACACACACACACACACACACACACACACACACATTCTCTCTCTCTCTTTCCCAATATCTATCTCTCTCTCTCTCTCTCTCTCTCTCTCTCTCTCTCTCTCTCTATATATATATATATATATATATATATATATATATATATATATATATATATAATTGTGTTGGATTTATCTTTGGAATACAAAAAAGGATCAACATTATCCCCTGGGGGGAAAAATTAAACATATTATTCCTGGTATGTCTCCTTCACTGTGCAGCAGGATGAAGTTTTTCAGGATCCTCATTTTCTGCTCCCTCGTCCTGGGGGTCAGCAGCCAGAGAACGTTAAGTTTCATCAAGAAAGCTGGTCAAGGTAAGAGCCAGAGGCTGTGGGGCTGCATCTGGCTTCCCCCAAGACTTATGTGAGCAGAGGCCACATCCCCACTGGGCAAAGCCACAGTGGGAGGAAAAGAATCAATATTTTTATGATAGGACTTCCCCAGACTTTTGTTTAAATTGAAATATATTTTTATATATATCATTATATAGATTTAAGGTGTATAACATGTTCTTGATGCATTTATATATTGCATTGTGCTTGCTTTTGTAGAGATAAATAGCACTTCAATCACATTACATAATTATTCTTCCATTTTAGTAGTTGGAATAATCAAGATCTAGTCTCTTAGCAAGATTTTTATTATAATGCAATATCGTTGCATTATGATTATAATGCAATATCATTGTCTATATTCATTTTACTGTGCGTTAGATCTCTAGGGCTTATTCTAGTTGTACATAAGTTTGTATCTTTAAAAAAATATGTCCTTTGTCCCCAACCCCAGGCTTTTCTGGATAGCTTTGCATCCTTCTATGCGGACCCCAGGTCTGAGTCCACATAAAGTTTAAGCCCCAACTTTCATCACAAGTGTGGAGGTGATCTAGACTCAGGGGTCATGTTCCCTAAACACAAATGGGGCTCTAAGGCCCCCTAGTGGGAACTCGGGAACAGCACATTCCTATATCTCAGGTAGCCATGAAGCTGGTGAATCAAACTTATAGTGTTCCCACACCCCACCCACTTCGTAATTACAACCGAGGCTAGCTGAGCTTTTAACACCTGTGAGGCACTGTTATAGGAGATTCCTATGTATGAATGGACACATTTGCATCTTCAGGAATTAATCCTTATCCTGCAGTGTAGGTACCATCCATCACCACTCGATAGAGAAACTGAAGCACCAAGAGAATAAGGTACCTAACATCATCCCAAGGCAGATCAGGACTTAGCCTGGGTTGTCGAGCTCCACAGACCTTGCTATTAACACAGTAGACTGCCCCCCCCCTCAACCCCCAACAAGGATGCACGTGGAAGAGTAAAGGATTTGTGAACACGTATTGTTCTTTATCGGAGCAAACGGCAAATAGTGGGGATGGGTGTGTTTGGAAGGGAACTCTGTAGAGCTGCTCTCCCCGCCATTAATTGCCTGATGGTGGTTCTGCTGGGGCTGAGACCTGGCCAGAAACCAATAGCAAGAGCTATCCACCCATGGAAAAGTGGCAAGAAGGTGTTTATTTCACAGAATTATTCTGCTGTTATTTCCCTGTGATTGTTTATACTGTTAGGCCAGCCGACATGAGATCACTGGGCTCTGAGGAGCTTTGTGAGATGCAGACATCTGGGTGCGCACACCCCTCGGTAAATTACAATTTCGGGGCAGAGCCTGAAATCCGGCCTTTTCTGAGTGCCCCAGCTGACGCAGTGCACACTAAAGGCTAAGCATAAACTCCTCCAGGTTTGCTGCCCGCCAGTGACAAAATGTGTTGGGCACTTGTGAAATACTTATCATGCAAGTCTGGACTCCAAGAATGTGTTTAAAGAAGTAACTCAGAGTAAAAAAGTTGTACCTCTCAACAAAGCTATCTTTCTGAACACCAAAAATAAAAATAAAAAAATGCATAAGATGAAGATAACTTATCTCATGGAGGTGTTATATAAGCTATAAATTCAACTATACATTACATTTCACGATTTTCTATTCAGCTAATTTTTAAAAATCGTTGCCTTTTTATTCTAGCTTGATCAGATTCCTTCCATCCATAACTCTGACCTTCATCTCAGTTTAGTTTATTTTTTTCTCTCTCCCGCCTCCACCCCCACCCCTCCGCTGGCGCCCACCTTCCTACGGACCAGAGAAGTGGTGGTATATTAAACACCTACAATGTTCTCAACATTATTCAGGATTTTCTCAGTTCTTCTGGAAGAGACAGTACTTGCCCATTTTATGGGGAGGACATTGGCCTTTAGAGCTGGTGGGTCAGTTGCCCTTGTTCTACACCTATTATCCCTCCCCCCCCCCCCTTTTTTTTAAGCTCTCATAAGGAACACAGCACTTTTATTGCCTGGATTGAACTCTCACAGTTGTTGAGGTGCCAAATGTGCCCAGAAATTCCAATGTACTCAGGACAAGTTGTCCTCCCTTTGCCCACAGGGATGAGTGTCTCCCATTAACTAGGTTGGGAACACTGTGCTTCCGAACCTCCCTCAGAATCACCTTTGTCCTCACACCTGTCAGGGGTTCCCTGCATCTGTCCAGGTGCAGGTTCCTTGTAAAAGCAAACATCCCTCGAGGACCATCCCGCCTCTCCATCACACAGCCAAAAACAAAGTGGCGGCAGGTATTAGAATGGGGTTAAACAGAATAAGACTTGTATCAAGTGTGATTCTAATAACATTAATCCAGAAACTAAAAGGAAAAAAATATTTATCTCAAAACAGTATAATCTCCAAGGGTTTGGCCAAACCCTAAAATCATGCAATCAGTAGAAGGAAATGTTTTATTCTTCTATTATGCCAAGATGTGATTATATCCATCTCACATTTTCCTTCCTTCCCAGGAACTAAAGACATGGTGAGAGCCTATTGGGACATGAGAAACGCCAATTACAAAGTCTCAAATACTTCCACGCCCGGGGGTAACTATGATGCTGCTCAAAGGGGACCTGGTGGTGTCTGGGCTGCTGAAGTGATCAGGTAACCAGGTTCCTGGGATGCAGGATGGGTGAGCAGAGCTTGGCTGACTGGGCATGTGGAGGGCATAGGCCCTAGAGAAGGAGCCTGTTGGGTCTGTGGGCTCCTCCTCCACCTTCTTCCTTCCACCTTCTCCATCCCTGCCCAGCACAGGGCCTGGGCTGCCAGCAGAGCCAGAGAATGGCTTGTGGGCCTGTCCCCAAAAGAGAAACTGAGGGCCAAGGACTGATTTCCAGTCTCCTCTCCGGTGCTGTTCTCCCAGTGGGAGGGGGTCACCTGGGACTGAGTGGGCTGTGCCCAGGCAGGGTCAGTGCTGAGCCTCTTTCCAGGCTCCTCTCAGAATCATTAATCCCTTGGAAAGGGGAGGGTGGGACTGCTTCTCCTCAGACCCTGATTCACCTCCTACCTGCCCTCCTCCATTCCAGTGATTTCAGAGAGGCTTATCCAAGACTCACTGACCATTTTAGGCATGGAGACAGCAGCCATGGATTGGCGGACTCAATGGCGGACCAGGAAGCCAATAGATGGGGCCGGAGTGGCAAAGACCCCAATTTCTTCAGACCTCGTGGCCTGCCCAACAAGTACTGAGCTCCTTCGCTCTGCTCTCGGGAGACGGACTATGAGCCCCCTAAGGGCAGGGATCCCGAGTCACTGAGGTCTACATCCCCAGATGTGGAATACAGAGGGCACACATCTCTAATAAATGCTCAAGAGTTTGAATGTTGGAAACTTTGTGTTATTCTTTAGTAGGACTGCGTATTTGGTACCAAGGGGTGATGGACGGACACCCACATGAAGGCAGAGCCTGTGCTTGTGTGTTTGTCTGGGGGACACAATCTCAGTGTCATACAGGGCAGAGGCCCTGCATCAAGCCTTTCCCTAATCAGAGTAGCTCAGTCCAGAACCCTCTATTTTGTCAACTTTGGCTAGTGGCACCCAGCAAACGTTTACTGCCATCTAGTGTGCACACACTGTGTTTGTTATCCCTTAGAAGTCAATCTCCAGTTACTAGTTAGTGAATCTTTACATTAACCCTCCTTCCTCAGGTTCCTGGCTGCTCTCTCTCTCCTGACTGAAAAAGGGGTCTCCAAACGCCAGGCCTTCCACCTGGCTGAGGGCTCCCCAGCAACACAGACTAGATGTTGATACCTTCCACCATTTCTCTCCCGGGTCATGCTGAGGCCTCTGCAGTTATTCTATTGCTCTCCCCAGGCATCCCTGTGTCCTGTCCCTTGCTCTGCCTCCATGCCTGGTCCCTCAGTGGCCCCTCTCCAGTTGTCTCCAGGAGCCTAATCCCAGGAGTCCGGCAAGGGGTATCTTGGCCTCTGCAGTGACCAGCTCCTATCCTGAAGACATCTACAGAAGTTCCTTTTATTCTCCCTTAGGAACGACTCCCATATTATATAATTTATCACATCATCACTCCCACTGTCTTTGAATCCAGATTCACATAGCAATTCTGCTCCTGGAAGAGCCTTCCCGGCAGCCCATGCACCACCTCCTGGGGCAGTTTCTGATTCCAGCAGCCCCTCACTCACACCTGCTGTCATCCTCACCCTATCCCCTCAGAGGTAGCTGTTCATGGCTAGGCCAGTGAATTTATTAAGTGTGGGCCAGCCTTGTTTCACTTGCTGTAGGGACAGACTAGGGAGCAACACAGGGCAAGAGCAAGGCCAACATGAGGATGTATTATAGTCAGCCACGAGTAATGCTTTTTTTGCTAAGTGGTTAGAGCACTGACCCTCAGACGAAAGGGTCTCGGGTTCCATTCCCAGTCAAAGGCACATACCTCGAATGCAGGTTCAATCCTTGCCCTGGTCAAGGTGAGAGCAGGAGGCAAACCAATTGATGTGTCTCAGGTCGGTGTTTCTCTCTCCCCCATTCCCTTCGCTTTCACCCTTCCACTCTCTTTAAAAATATATGTATCCTCACTCTTCTGGTGAGGATTGAAAAAAAAAAGAAGAAAAAAAAAAAGCCGCATCAGCTCCAAGACTGCGGACAAATATTCATCTTCTACATCCTGCCCTGCTGGCTGGTGGTTTTGACCATATGTCCCAGGACGCAGTCCTTTTTTCTAACTAGCACAGGGCTCAACAAGCCCTTTCTTTCACAAACCCTCTTGGCTACGAATGTTTTTATTTAACATCCCTTAGCCAACAGAATCTGATACTATCTCCATGTTGATAGTATAAGAATTGATTTGAACTGACAGACACCCAAGCTGATGGAGAACTTAGTATGGGGAAATACCACACAGACACACACCCCACCACCATTACTGCCCCACACCCTTACTGCCACCACACACTGCTGACCAGAATCGCAAGGTTTCTCAAAGAAGCTTTGTGAACTTTTTCTCTGACAATCTCTTTAACCGATCAGGTTACATCATACCTAAATGTCATGTAAAAGTATGACAGTAATTTTGTCTGTAGATCTCTGGCTGTGTTATAAAAGAAAAAGTGAATTATTTGAGTACCCAACACTTTGCTTACTCCACACTGAATCTAACCCATACTTTCCTGCAAATTGTTCACAATAAACTTCATGTCTATATTCTATTCAAATGGAAACTTTAATCAGATTTTACATTTATTATTAATATAACATGTTATATCTATAGAAGCCCGACAAATCACAATCTAGTACTTGGCTTAAATAATACAGGCACTTGCTTCAGTATTCATTAGTTCTCAGCCTTTCTTTATTGTGACTTTAAAAAAATAATTTTTAAAAGTGCATGATTTCTTTGAACTACTGTTTAGGAAAAATTCAAGTTAAAACATTATCAGTAATGAATTAGTCCGTTGTATAAAATGTCAAATTCAGATTATAAAATGTCAAGTGCTAAAAAAAAAAAAAGTATTTTAAATTAGTTCAAATTAAATATGGGGCCATTTCACTTAAATATCTAATTTCAGTGTTCAGTGTTTCACTTCTTTTTTGTATTAATTCCATTACACCAGGCCATATTTCAATAATTTCTCAACTGCCCTAGACAAGAATAAAAAAGAATTCAACTCCTGTCAATTATATGATCTGTCTTCGTGTGATCAGAATGAGAAACTTTTGCTCCCCTAATCCACAAGCAAGAAATAAATAACACTGTTGTTCAGAATACTAGTAAGGATTGCATAGCTGTGAGCATTCACATTCTGATTACAGAAATCTTCATATAAGCAAACAAGGACCTATTCCTTTCAAGATTCAACTTTAGTTGAGAATCCCTGAGGTCACAGATTAGCCATAAATACAGAGGTTACAGACACTGGCCAAAGGACTCCCATTAAGGCAGCAGGATTTTCAAGTGGTGCCTTTCCTTCAATAACAAACGCATTTGGAAGATTCAGGAGCATGATTCCATTTTCCTTAGAATGTTATGACATCCTGTTGAATCTTCTTCCACTAGGCCTGCTGAGACCAGAGAAACCGATCACATTTTTCAAGCATGCTTTGTATCAAGGCTCTGAAATCACAAAGAAAAGAAACAAGTAAATTTAGTCCTCATTGTTCATTCTTTACAAAGAAACTTTAAAAACCACAAATAAAGATTCAAAGCTTTCTGACTCTATGCATCAAGAGAGATAATCAACATATAGAAAAGGCATCCTGTCCTACAGAACAGGAGAATACATTTGCAAATCATGTCTCTATAGAGATTAATATAGAAAATGTATACAAACTCATACAACAAAAAAACAAATAGAGCAATTGAAAATGGGTAAAAAACACTTAAATAGGTACTTCTCCAAGATGACATACAAATGGCAACGAGCATATTAAAAAGATGCCGAACATCACTAATTATTAGAGAAATGCAAATAAGAATTACAATAAGATACAACCATAAGAAAACTATTAAACACACACACACACACACACACACACACACACACACACACCTACATACATACATATACATACACACACAGAAAATAACTAGTATTGAAAAGAATGTAGAGAAATTGGAACCTTTATGCATTGTGGATAAGAATGTAAAATGGTGAGCCTCTATGGAAAAAAGTTATAACAGTTCCTCAAAAAATTAGAAATTAAATTACCATATGATCCAGCAATTCCACTTCTAGGCATAGTCCAAAATATTGAAAGGAAAATCTCAGAGACATTTTATGCAAACATGTTTATAGCAGCAACCCAAGGGTCCATTAACAAATGAATTAAATGAATGTATAAACAAAAAGTGGTATACACATACTATAGAATATTATGTAGCCTTAAAAAAGGAAGGGAATTCTGACACTTACTACAAAATGGATGAACCTTGCGAACATTATACAAAGTGAAATAAGCCAGTTACACAAAGAATAAAAAAGAATTCAACAAGACAAATACTGGATAATTCAATTTAAAATAGTCACAATCAGAGAGACAGAAAGTAGAATGGCAGTTGCCAGGGGCTGGTTGGAGGGGAAAATGAGAAGTTATTGTTTAATGGGTAGAGAGTTTTACAAGATGAAAAAGCTCTGGATTTGAGCTGCACAATGATATGGATACACATAACACTCCTGAACCAAACACTAAAATATGGTTAAAATGGTTAATTTTATGTTATCTGTACTTGATCACATCTAAAAAGACAAACAAAAACAAAAAACCTAAGACAAGTAGGCATTTGATACCAATAATATTCTTAAAGAACTGAGTACACAACAGATTTTTATATTCATTCACATTAATCCAAACTGTCTTGGTCATGATTGTGAACAAACTATTACATTAGCCTCTTCCTTTAATCATCTTAATCAACAGATGAGTCTCAGTCCCCTTATCTGTTGTTAGGGTTTGGGACTAGATGTTCTATTCCCATAACCCTCTAAAAATCTGGGGTTTCCACATTCCCCAAGCTCCTATGGAGAGGGCATTGCAGACAAGTATTACCTCTGTCTTTTCTCGGCAATCCTTAGGATATTGCAGGTTCTGGTAAACCTCTCTGACAGCTCAAGTGTCAAACCACATTCCTGTAGCAGTGACCAGGCCCGATCTGGACCCATGGCCTTAGCTAACAACAGTGCTACATTCTCCAGGTTAACAGGAGAAGGCCCATCACTGAAGCTCCCATTTGGTGAATTCTGGGGGGCTGGCATTGTGTTTTTGTTCTGAACAAGATGTAGGAGAAGTTTCCACTCCTCTATGGTTTCTGGGATCCAACCTATACAAACACACAAAAACATAGAAATAGTGGCTCTGACTGTTCTTTGTATTCTGCCTGCACATAGGAGACAGTCAAAACAGTTTATGAAAACACTTAGTTGCAAAACATACAAATATTAGAGAACAAATCTCATCACCTTAACACAAGGTGTTTTCTGAACATCTGCTGCATAAATAGTTAATAAAAGGGAAAAGCCACAAATTAACTTCAATGTTCTTTCATTGACTCATTAATTACCCAGGGCATATTCTATGCTGGGCACTGAATGTGCAATGAAGAACTCTTCTGGGACTTGGAGCAAAGGAGACAGATCTTAGATAAACACATAAATGCACTATCCTTATATACTTACTAGAGGCCCAGTACATGAAATTTGTGCACGGGGGTGGGGGCTGTCTCTCAGCCTGGCCTGTACCTTCTCTCAATCCGGGACCACTAGCTCCTAACCACTTGCCTGCCTACTTGATCACCCCTAACCACTCGCCTCCTGCCTAATTGCCCCTAACCACTTTGTCTGCCTTCCTGATCGCCCCTAACTGCCTCT